CTCTGTCTCATGAACACTGATAATATTTATCATGACAGCCTGTTGGTGGGTAGTTAGGAACACATGTGTGATGCATGGTTGCACTATTATTCCTTTAAAGCTTAGTAGATGCAAGCAACTACATTTAAGTGAAGTTGCTATGTATGCTCATGAGTGTACAGTGAGAATAGCTTCATGAAGAGTTTTTATTGGCCATGTCTTTAGCATTTGTGACCAAACAGGTAGTTAACCTCCCCAAAACAACTCAGTCCCCAGCTTCTCTAACTCTTTGATTTAATATTTTGTCTCGGGTCCTGTTCAAATGATATTTAATGTATTGCAGCTGTCAGTATAAAAGGATGCTTAATCTATATTTTTTTATTTTTCTTTCTCATAATATTAGGATATTACAGTTCTAGATAGACATAAGGTAAGGCAGAGTTGTGGCCTTCTAATACGTATCTCTAATGAGTTTTCTCCCTGGTGATAAAATATAAAACTTCTGTGCTTTTATGTAACTAGTGATGTGGTTAGTGAGTCTCAGGCTCTTCCATGCCAAAAAAAAAAAAAAAAAGTTTTAGGCAATAAACTCCTAAGTCACTAAAATTGACATAAACTTCTAAAGTACTCAAGAGTACAAAAAAATCAATGGGAATTAAGTATATAAGCACTTGGTAACTAAATTCTTCTGTGATTCTGGCCATGTACAATTCTGAGGATTTCCTTATAGTCATCTAATATCAGGAGGAACCTCTCCCACTTCTTAAAGTTCTGGGAAAGCCTGTTCCTTCAAGTCTTTTCTTCTTTAGTAAAATCAGGCCTTGCTTCTTCTTGTGTAGGAAAGTTTGAGTTTCTCCTCAGTAGAAAAAAGATCATACAAGGAGTTAGGGAGAAAATTCATAGAAAAGGTGAATAATCAATTGCTACAACATTTCTTCAGAGTTGTAATTAAGCCTCAAATCTTTACGTAATAAACTTTGGAGGACTGTGGTTTAGGTCTACGAACCTTATTGCTCAGTTCTGAGCTCTTATTGCTCAGTTCTTTCGTGCTTAAGCTATCATTAAGGCAAAACTAATGCGTTATCATAACTATCCTCAAAATAATATCCTTTTTCTGTGGTTTATTACTTTTTTCAGTTACTTTCAGAGTTCAGATACCTATCACATTCGCAGATGATAGTACAGAGAATCAATCAAATATTAGGCTAAAAAAGTATGGCAATATTTTCTAACGGTCACTGTCTTTTTCTCCAGGCCTGTTTTGCAACATACTTGAAGGCTACTTATTTAGCTGCAAAAGAGACACTTTCTAATTTAACCTCTGCTGACGAAGTTAGGACCTGATTGGGAATACTTTCTTGTGGCAAACTGGGGTTTTGAAGCGGGGTTGGGATTGAGATGCTGGTTAAATGGAAGATGGCAAGGCCCAAGGCCTGCACTTCTTGGTAGCCTCCTGTTATAGATAGCTTTATACCACTTTATTTGTGACAAAGCTTGGCAATCTGCTGGAGTCATTAATCTCCTGCTGTGACATTACCTTCCAGTGTCAGGATTAGGCATTTAATTCTCTACATGATTGTAAGCACTATTGAGACATTTTCGTTCAAAAAATTGTTATCTGCCCATGAAAAAAACTCATTTTGGTGGGCAGTTTAACCTCTTGGAGCTCAATTATTGCTGTGAATTGACAGTGATAAAGCAGAGCTAAACAGGGCTTGGGAAGGGGGGACACGGCGCTATCAAAAACAGCAGTTGACTCTGTGCACCATAAACTGCATAAATTGGCTGTACTGGAAAGGTATAAAATCTGCCTTGTGCTACACTGCTCATACTTAGACAACATATATTATTTATGGGTCTTGATACTTCATCTCCATATTGGTGTGCTGATCTGGTATGTTAATTGGTCATTTAGTTAGGACTTAATTTTTCTGTGGATAAAAGTAAAGGATTCTGTTAACTGAAGTTAAGTGCCTGCTATGGCAAATAAAGCTTCATGCAATAGAGCCTCCCCATATGTTGAGGCCACCTGTAATTTAAAAATTTGGAGGAAAAAAAGTTAAAACATTGTCTAAAGAAGCTAATTTGTGTCAGAATACAAGACAATATTGTCTTAATTTAATATGCCTATAATAAGTTTGGGTATGGTATTTTAAATGCAACAAAAAAGTAATTTTTTGTGACCATTTAAATTCAAATCTCATGTTTCTCAGTTTCCCCCTGAAAACGAGTCAGCTGTGTGAAACAATCTGCTTTGATTTTTTTTTTTTTTTTTGGAGGGGGGTGTTGGCTGGAATTTGTTGCAGTCCACAGGTGTGTATGAGAACCTCTCCTACAATGAGTTAAACTAATGAACAGCCCTAATTGGACTAAATAGACTGGTAATGCTGAGCTAATATTTTTGCATGTCTCACCTTGTACAGCTAATACTACCTTGCTGTAGTAGTGCCTTGCACTATCAGATGCACATCTTCTATTCCTGCTCCTGTAGCTGCTAATGGATGATTTTGCCAAGCCAGTGTTTATTGCCTGTGGTGATGGAGAGCAAAAATCTGTGCTCTCCTCCATCTACCAAAACCTGTTAACTATCACTTTTCAATTCATCATAAAGATGTCCCAAAACTCAGCTAATGATTTCTAAAGAAGTTGCAATGAATGCTTGCAGGAGGGCTTGGAAGCATGCTGCTGTGGTGCATGAATACACTGACATAGGAAAAGAAGATTTGATTATTTTTCCTTAGCAAGCCAGGGACAGCCAGTTTTTTGATTTTGTTTGCCTCTTGTGACTCTGCCTTCTGCAGTGCAGTATACAGTTACCATTAGAAAGAGGTTATATGTTATTTGCTTGTTCTGAATCATATATAACTGCTATCTATTTACAGTGGTAAATCCCGAATTGCTGCTTAGCTGGTGGTGTTATTGTCTTTTTTTGATTTCGAATGTGTGGCTTTAAGTGCTTAATTATGGTGCTTAATACTGAGGAAAATAAGCTGTGTATTTAACCCCCCACACTGATTGGTGGTGTGTTAACTTTAACCTTAATTAAAAGGTGAATTATTCAGTCAGTGAACACCACTATTTGAAACACCTCCTCTCCATGTAAGATGATGGACTTAAAAGTTTCAGATTCATTTAATATGTAATACTTATTCAGATGGTGGGTTTTATTGATACCTGCCAGTGCAAGTGGGTTTTAAGAGTTTTCCTGGAGGGTGGGATTGATCCCACATGATTCTCTAATACTTACATTCAGGCTTTTCTAAGTCCAGGGTACCTAGAGAGTAAGTAAACTGTAGGGTTTCCAAAGAAACTCCAAAAAGTTTTAATGTGAGGCATTTAACTTAAGTGCAATGCATCTACAAACTCCTTACTCAGGGCACTATAAATCTGCCACTACTGTATATTAACTGTGTGGTGCAGCTTGGGTTTCGCAGTGCAATGGCAACTATGTGGCATTCTCTGAAAATTAAATATTTTTACAACATTTTGGTGTATCTGGAGTAACGTAAATATCCATTTCTGTCAGTATGGCACAAAACCTATGGAGTAGGATGTCATTATTGTAGATGTTTTGCAAACTAAACTCAAGAACACTATGAAAGACTCTTGATGTAAGAATGAAACAAGAGATGATAAATGGGAATTAAGAGATTGGAAGAAAGAAGAGGCAATAAATGGAAAGGAAGCAATTGGGAGGAAAAAAACGATGCAAAATGACAGGGTGATAGTAGCTACAATGCACCACCCTCCTAGGTGTTGCCAGGTCTCTTTAATATATTCTTTTATTATTTTGTATGTATTATTGTGATAGCAGTTCCTAGGAAGGGAAAAGTGTTTTCCAAACAAAATCTGAGAATTAGTTTCCAAGGGGGATTAAGAATCACTGTTCTTCATGTTAGACCCTTTATAATTTAAATAAAGGGAATGCTATATGCATTTATATATACATGCATACGCTTTATTTTGCTTTGCTGCTTGATTTTACTGTACCATGAAGGGGTTTAATTGAAATAGTCCAATTTAGCTTTTTTTTATAAATAAATATCACCCATCTCCCATGCTGCTGAAAATCAGATGGATCAATGATCAAGGATTTGCAGCATCTACCAAAATGGAAGTCTTCAATGTATCCACATTGTGTTTCAATGTCCAGCTTTTCATTCTTAACAGCTAGACCTGTAAGCTGAAGTGAATATGCTAAAACATTTCTGTTTCCCACTTTTGCAGTTCAATTAAGTTTCCAGGAAGAATTATTTAAGATTTTAGTCATCTTTCTGGCTGCCTTTCAAACCTTAGCCAAGTTTGACGTTAATTAGTGGTTACTAGCAAGGTAGGGCAGACATTGGTGACAGAGTCTTACAGTAATATTGCTTCAAACAGATGTTTTTTGAAATAACAGGTGTTTAATCTTCAGTAACTTGTAGGGCTTTTCCCCCTTGGAATAAATTGTAGGTTTGTCTCCTAATCTTACCTTAAAAATATGCTTAGAAAGGTTTTCTGTTTATACCTACTGGAGAGATTTGAACAAAATATTAAGCACAACATAATGTTAAATGAAATGTGTGTTATTGCATAGGACAGTATTCAGTGCAGCAGTAAGAGGAGCCCTAGAAGCATTTACGGTGTGTGTGGTTTTGTTTGTTTTCATGCTTTCTTGATGTTAAGCTCCTCAATACATATTTGGCTTTTAAGTCTGGGCTGCTTTTTAAAGGACTGTTCTGCTTTCAGTTTTCATCAATTTGCCATGTGTTGTGTGGGTAATCATCACTGTCCTAGATGATGCCATTCAAACCAATAGGATTAAATGTGAGTCAGTGTGAATCTTGAGTGTTTTGCAGAGTTAGGCCCTTAACTTTTGTTATAGTTTTTGCATGCTTGCTGCATACACAGAGTTGGAGGGGAGTTCAAACAGCTGTCCAGTGCTATGAGATTTCACACATCATTGCTTAAGTATATTTATATACATATATATGGTGTGCTGATAACTCTCTTATTTACTGCTCTACTCCGTTTTCTCACAGCTGCGGAAGGCAGTGATGGATCACATATCAGATTCATTCCTGGAGACCAACGTCCCGTTGCTGGTCCTCATCGAGGCTGCAAAAAGCGGCAACGAGAAGGAAGTGAAGGAGTACGCGCAGGTCTTCCGTGAGCACGCCAACAAGCTCGTGGAGGTAAGGGATCCTACGGACAGAACTAGGTTTCCAAATCACTCTTCCAGGAGAGGCAAAGAAAGTGGCAGCTCAGCTCAAATGGTAGAGATATAATGCTTCCATAACAGAGGTCTAGGTGGACTTCATTCTTGGTGACTACTTAGCAATGACTAGCAGAAAGGAAGGTGTTTCAGGAGCTCATTAAAGCTGAATGTGTTTTGAATATTTCCAGTGTTTTGTCAAGCCTTGAGCTACAACAAGTCAGTGTCAGCTGAGCTTTGCTTGATTTTTAGTAGATTGTTTTTTTTGTTTTTTTTTTTGTTTTTTTTTGTTTTTTTTTTTCCAGGAGGTTAAAAACTAAATGGGTGCTCCAGAATATCTTATCTGGTGCAGGCTGAAGGCCGCTCCAGACTTGCAGGCTCATCGTGCCAGACTAAAGTAGGGGAAGGGTATGTAACAAAGGCATAGCCGAAGACAATGTTTACTCTTGAAGGGCATGCATTAGATAAGTTCTTAGTATCTGTTTTTTCTGAAGGGACTTGCTGTGTTAAGTCAACACACCGTCTTTAGCTTCAAGGATGATACAGAAGCATTTATTTAACTATGTGGAGAATCAAACATAATGGCTTGAACCTGGCTGCCTACTGAACAGGTTTTTTACCAAATGATAATGTTTGCTCATCTCAATTTGCCCTCTGTGACAGATTAAGGACTGTGGAAAAATATTTGCATTTCTCCAAGACACAAATACACTTCAATGATGTATGTTTGCTATTATTGTAGCATTAACTTCTCTATACTGGTGTTATTCTGAAGAATATGAAGTTCTTCACCAGCCCTGCTGTGTATGCTTTAACAAAAAACTCCTAAGAAACTTTTGTTGATTAGGGTGCTGTTGGGGAAGGTGTAGCTCTTCCTGTTGGCAGTAGAGGCAATCAACTTCACACCTCTGGGGTGTCTGTTGCTGTCTGCTATTCTCCAAGTGCTATAGTACTTCATGTGTAGGCATCTGGGCACAGCTTCTGGGATTTAATAACTCCAGCTGCATTCTGAACACTGCTGAACTTCCAGGTTTACTACTGTTATGTACAGGAAGATCAGAGGAGTGTTGGCAGCTTGCTGTTTTGAACTATTAGTACTGCAAAGAGATATAGCTACTACGTTTTTCAAGAAAAAAGACAAATTTTCATTGCAACCGTATTGTAGTATTATTCAGAAGACTAGAATTCTGAATTGCTATGTAATGAACATGTGGTTAGTATTAGGGCAGTCCTCTCCTCCATGGATCTGCAAGAAAGTATTTCAATTATAGTTCTAATAGCTTTATTATTAAAAAGTTAAAAATAACTAAATGGATCTTATCTTTTACAAGATAATAAGAGGTAGTGGCAGGAAAGGAAGAAAAAATAATTACCGAATATAGGTTTAAAATAATTTCAACTAACAACTTTAGAAGAAACCAAGATACTGATTCCATTAATCTAACTGTGGGATTATAAATCTAACATTATTATTGGATTTGATTACTGATTTATTTTATTTTTAACTTTAAATGACAGCTTTTAGGTATCCTTTTTAGAGGATCCTAACTGTAAAATAAGTTGTGATGGTGACATAGATGCCTTGGTCCAAATATGTATATAAGATGAGAGAAGTATAATAGTGTGTGTCTATACATTCATATTCCTGTTTAAGCTGTTTCAGATTATTTTTTAAAAAATTAAACTCATTCTTCAGCTATATATAGCTGAAGTTAGGACATGTTTTTATCCTTACTCCTTTATGAGGATGGACTCTCTTAATTAGGTCTTGGTTGTTTACTTCTAAGCTTCATACTTGTTTATTTCTTCTGGGTAATGAAATCTCTAGAAGAAACCAATTTCTAGTGCAAGTGGGAATTTGAAACCTAGGTTTTGTCCATCAGAGCACAGAAGCAAAATGTTTGGAATAGACTTACTGCCCTTGCTTTTTCACTTAAAATAATTTCATCATTTTCACTTGAAGATGCACAACGGTATCTTTAGCAGATGGACTTCTCTGGTTTTGTGGGTCAAGTATTTTGAAGTGTGGTTTAAAGATGAGACCTAATCAAGTGACTGTAGAACAAAAGATCCTTTCCCAGGCACAGGGCCAGAATTCTTGCTAATATATGCAAACACAGTTTCACTGAAGTATTGGGAGCTGCGCCTACTTATGTGAAAGGAATTTGTCAATATAAATCCAATACTATGAAAATGCAATAATCATTAATTCTAAAATCTGAATCTTGATTTCCTGGATGTCTCACCAAGCTCAATAGGAAGTCTATGAAGATAAAGGTCTGAGAAAGAAAGTTACGACTAACAGAGGTTCTAAGTTATACATTAACAAAGATGTATGTTATAGGAATGAGGTGAATGTTGCAGAATTGTGTTTTGTGAGATGCTTGAACTATTTCTGTCTTCCCTTCCCTACATCTTTTCATAACACTTGTCTTTTGCTTTTCACTTGATTTGCTATGATATGCCTCATTTGAGAATAAGCCCAAAGATGAATTCCCAATTTCCTAGGGATTTTGGGTATCTCTGTAGGCTGTTTAGGAACCAGTGTTATCTGATGAAACTGGAGGCACATTATCTGTGGTGCCTTTATTAAAGCCTTCTTGCTCAGGCTCCCTCCAGAGCTTGCAGGACTAAGAATCAGCCTATTTATGAATCATCCAAAATGGCTCAAAACCAGTACAGACATTTAAAACATACCTGAAGGTCTATGGCGTCATTAAAACCATTTTTATTCAAACCACCATCCAGCAGCCATCTCCATCTTTATGCTTTCTGAAACTAAAGGTAGAGGATCACTGGTGCTTTCCAGATCATGACCTTTATCTTATAATAATCTTCTTAATGTTTTTAAAATTTTAATCTATCATGACTGAAAGGCAGTCAATGCTTAACTTGCATTGCCAGCTTCAAGTCTGATGTTGAAGCAATTTAACTTCCACGTCCAGGTTTCTTCATTTATAGCATAAGGCTAATGACAGGTAATTCTAATACCTACCTCACAAAGGTACTCTGATGCTAAATCAGTTCAGATTTAGGCATCTAGCAAAGCACTATATGTATGGCAGCTAATTAACTACTATGTTTGGTGTTGTTTTCTGTATTTAACTGTCAGTCCTCTGGACTGTGTATTGCAAAATTGCACTCATTAAATGACCAAATGCAGCTGCTTCTCCTGGGAGATCAAGTGCAGTGGCCAGTAGGCTCCAGAGATCCAGGATAGTAAGCTGCTTAGTTGCCTTCAGCATGAAATATCAGCATGTGTGACTATTAACTAATAACTGTGAAAATGCAGATTGTAGCAGATGTAGGTTGGGATTTCTGTCCTCACAGCAAGGATGGGAACAAGCGCATGAGACAGCTACTGAAGAATAAATCTTTTTTTTCTAAGCTTAATTCAATTATGCTTTTTGCTTCTTTACTTTTTATTTCCTGATGGAAGTAATTTTAATTATTTTCCCTGTGATCATTTACAGTGATCATAAAGCAAATCTCTGTCCAAAATATTTGACAGAAACTCCTGAATCTACATTCTGAATCTTTAAAGAAAAATCCAGCACAAGAGCTTGTAAAGTTTCAAAAAAAGTGCTGCTTCTTCTAAAGACCTCACTGAATACTTGGGTGGGTGAGGAGGAAGACTTGCAGCAGGTTCTCTGTTTTGTGGTATGAGAGCAGAAACCAGGTATACAAACCTTTCCTCTTATAGAATCCTACAAAAAAAATGTGCTATTGAAATGACAACTGACCCATAACTGGAATGTTACAGATTTTGTACCATGTTACAGATACATTCTACAGATCTATTTGGCTGTTTGTCCTTCAGATCGTTAAGGATAAAAATCCAGTGGGCTGAGTACAACAAAACAAGTCCTTGACTCAAGGAGACTGTGCTGAGGCTTCCTGTGAAAAGGAAGAACTTCACAAGCAATCTGTCACTGCTCTTAAGGAAAGAAGTGTTCTGTATTTATGCTTCCTCATCTTGATGAAAGCTAGTTACTGTGAAGATGCATATGAAATTTTAATATGGCAAAAACAAAGGGACTCACCACACAAAGAATAAAGCGTTGCTAAGTCTGAATAACATCGAAGTTTAGCTTAATTGGCTCTTTGGCAGGACACAATGGGAAGTAAGAGAAGAAAGATAGTAGGCGATAGGAAATTACATTCATTCTCTATCTTGAAAGTAAAAGGACTTATCCAGTAAAAGTTCAAAGCTGCAATTGTCCATTGGAAGTGGTCTTATCCTTAGATGTTAAGGAGAGAGACTTTTAAAATAAGTCACATGACAACATGAACTTCCAAGTTTTCTAAAAACTAAGCCTTAAATTTGATTTTTCTTAAGTTTACCATTTGGTAATTGGAGAACAGTTGCATCTGTTAGTGTTCTGCCTTACAATTTCCAGAAGTAAATTTCAGTATTACTGCAGAGAAGACTTTTAAGCTTTTTTATAGGTTCGGTGCTGTATCACTTCCTGATAACTACAATCTTTCACAAAAAGATAATGTCCTGATTTTTTAAATTAATTCTAGGAAATATTTTTTTTGTGGGACTTGTATATCTAGCAATTTTGGCTAATGCAAACAAACATTCCCAGACCTGCTGAAAGTAATCAGTCATCTAATAACAGTTCTTCCATGAGCAAGTACCCTTATGCTATGGTTTATGGATATTAAAACTTGATACAGTGCGGGCAAATCAATAGTCTCAAGGTTGGATAGTAATTTATGGCCAATGGAACCTAAAACAGCTTTTTTTTTCCTGTTTTATATATGTTATATACTAGGCTTATAGGAATCTTAGCTTTCTCCTGGCCATGCATTTGTCCTCTTGAGCAGAATACTGGGGCCACTTTTGGGGTGTTTGGTGCTTTTGTCTTTATTGTAATGCCAAAGGAAAAGAATTCGTGTTTAACTCCTTGGTGAGATGCCATGAATGCTGCTTTCCATTTTCCAAGCCCTGTCTGTCAGTAAATTTTCTGCAGA